TTGTTTGTTTGTTTGTTTGTTTGTTTATTTATTTATTTATTTATTTATTTATTTATTTATTTATTTATTTATTTATTTATTTATTTAATATCCCGCCTATCTGGTCGGTTAAGACCACTCTAGGCGGCTAACAGCATAAAATAGAACAGTAAATAAATATAAAACAATTTTACAAAGAGACATAATAGAATAGAATAGACAAATAGAAGGGAGAAAGAGGGTATCAGGGATTGACTGGAGAGAAAGCCTGCCGAAACATCCATGTTTTAAGTTGATTTTTAAAGATATCCAGTGAGGGAACCACACGGATCTCAGGAGGTAGGTTGTTCCAGAGGCGAGGTTCATACGCCTTGTCTCTGACACATTTTTGGTATCACCTGGCAGGACAAAGATCTAAATAGAGGAGTCCTGGAACAAGCTGGAATTTTTAGCATGTATACATTACTGAAACAGTGATGTCTATGTTGGATTAGGCATGTCATAAGAATGGCTGATGATTGGATTCCAAAAGATCTCCTGTATGGAGAATGAGTGCAGGGAAATCACCCCAGTGGGAGACCACGGCTGTGATACAAATATATCTGCATGTGGGATCTGAAGGCCTTAGGAATGGGCCTCAACAGATGGGAAACCTTGACATCTGAGCATTCAGCCTGGAGGCAGGTGTTGCAGCATGGTCTCTCCCAATTTGAAGAGACACGTGTCCAGCAGGCTGAGGCAAAGAGGCAGCCCCGAAACCAGCAAAATCAGGGAGCTGGACAGGGGACAGATTGTATTTGTCTTCAGTGTGGAAGGGATTGTCACTCTTGAATTGGCCTCCTCAGCCACACTAAATGCTGTTCCAAGTCCTCTATTCAGAGCACGTTGCCATAGTCTCTCAAGACTGAAGGCTGCCTAATCTAATCAATTTATCTACATTACTTCTATGTTCCTACAATCCTCAAGATGCTTTTAATCAACAATCTTCCTCCAAGTTGATCACAAGTTATGTGGCACCCACCTTTCAGGTGTTTTTTTTAAATATACAGATTCAGAAGTGGCTTGCAATACTTTTTTCTGATGGTGTCCTGGGGCTGTATAGTTTATCTAGGGCTACGCAGGCTGGGTTTTCTCCTCAAAGGCAAGTGGGGAATCAAACTACCAACTTCTGGCTCCACAGAAAAGCTACCCATCTCTCTGAACTATCCAGCTAAGATGTTCTAACCTGAAATCATTCCTTTCTAGGCCTGCAGTTTGTGTTCCTTACATGCCATGGTGTCTGCAATGGCTGCTTCTTTTCGTAGTTTGCGCTCGCCAGCTTTGTGTCCTGTTGTCCTCTTTTTCTGCTTTTTTGAATTATTTCTTTTGCATGGCCAGGTATCTGGAAGTAGGCACTGAGAGTCCTCTCGTTGTTTTGTGTCTCCTGCTGACAATTGCTATAGTTCAATGCAGTGGCTAACCTTCGTGTTTTCCTAGGTCTCTGGGCAGATAGACAAATCTAAGGATGTGATCAGACAACAACTCATGTCACGTTTTGGACTGATTTTGGCTTGGTTGGGTTTGGTCTATTTTAAGATTACTACATGACATACAGGCAATTGTGAACCAGTCTGATTCTTTTCTATAGTTACCCATACGTTTTTGGTCACTAGCAGGGACTACTATCTTTTTCAGTGTGTGTAAGATTGCTTCATTTGAGTTGAATTTCTGGCATGTATGATCGCCAGTATTGAACAAAAGTGGCACTGATGGTGTTTCGTGTCATTTAGGGGGAAAGTCAATCCACTTCTTTGCTACTTCACTAAAAGTTGAAGTGCTATGCCATTTCCCAGTTTATAAACAAACAAACAAACAACAGCAACAGCAACCCATCTTTCCCCAACTCCCCAGTGGAAGGGGAGACAGGAAAGGAAGCAGAGGGGGAATTTCCCCCTCCCCATTTAAATCCAGTACTATGTCAGTTCAGGGGCAAGCTAATTCAGTGCTATGCCACTTACCAATTTCTCCTGTGGAGGGGGTGAAAGGGGGCATGGAGGTAGAGAGGGGGAATGGGCTAAATAGAATCAGATTGAGTTGTGATATGGCTTGTTATCTCGAAACCACACAGTGGGTCTGTGTGAGGCTTGCTCTAAATGGAATACTGCATCTTGAAGTCATCCTATTTATCCTGATCCAGCCAAGGATAACTTGACTGTCTGGTTGCATCCTAAGAGTGAGCTGAGCAACACGGGAGGAAGAGAAAATTGAATTCTTACAGGTAGCTGTGGTTGGTGGGGCGCAAAGTACAGGAGGCAGCTGGGGGAAGAAAAGTGGTGATTTTTTTTCAGACGTGAACACAGAAGTATAGATTTACACACATACAACGAAGCAAGTAAGAATTTGCATCTATAAAAAGTGGGATGGACGGTAGTGGACTGAACTTGCAAGTGGGGCAGTGCTCCATTTGTACCGATGAATCAGCCTCCATTATTTTGTATATGAGGTGGAATTAAAGCTTCTCGAGCTGGCACCACAGATGCCATGTGTGATGTAAGGGTGCAAGCTGTAATAGAAATTGTGACAGTTGCTACAGCTGCTAGATGATGTGTTGGTGCCTGTGCTGAAGCCAAAGAAGGAGTAGGAGTAGGACTTGAAATTGTTGCTGTTTAGGCTTTTTACTCCCATGGTCCTAGGTTGCCATATAGCCTGGTTAGCAAGGTTTACGTAGATTCTGGGCCCATTTACTTGCATTCTCCTTATCTCCATTTCTACAGTCAGCTAGCCCAGAAATAGAAATACCGCCCCTCGCCAACCCTTGTATGTCCCATCGTGTGGCCTCCCATTTAGGGAATTATATATAGTTGACCTGACAAAATCGAGCCCTTTCTGGTCAGGCTTTTCTAGTTACTGGATCCTGGCTGAAAGCCTGTTTCACTATCCCTAAACCCCTGAGCTTGATGAAGAATTTGAAAAGACACAAAAGCTTGCACCCTTTTTTGGTGTTTTTTTTAATCCCAACTGCATATCTGTGGACAGCTATTCCAGGGTTTGTGTGTGTGTTTGCTTCAATGTATCATATTTTTCCGTGTATAAGACTATACTTTTGTCTAAAATCTTTAGACTAAAAATTGAGGGTCATCTTATACATGGAAGTAAGCTGAGGAAAAAAAACAAGTGGAGGGGAAAGCAGGGATCAAAGTGATCCTGCAGTGCTTTCCCCTCCACTTGTTAAGCCTTAGCAAAAGGAAAGCAGGGATCAAAGTGCTGCAGGATCACTTTCATCCTGGCTTTCCCCTCTGCTTGCTAAGTCCCATGGGGCTTAGCAAAAGGAGGGGGGAAAGATCAAAGCAATCCCGTGGCTGTATAAGGGGGAAAGGGATCAAAATGATTGTGCTGTCATGGAATTGCTTTGATCCATTTCCCTCTCCTTTTGCTAAACCACGTGGGGCTTAGCAGAAAGGGAGAATGCAGGGATCAAAGCCATCCTGCAGCACTTTGATCCTTTTTACCCTACATTTGCTAAGCCCCACTTAGATTTCTTAATTTTGGGTTAGAAAAGTGAGGGGCGTCTTATACATGGAAAAATACAGGAAAATACGGTATGTACAGTACTTCTCATGGACATAAATCTTCCTTTGCCTTTTTCTGAAGGGTAAATCATCTCCTATTCACATTCTCCATTTTCTATCATCTGTCATCTGTAGGGACTTCTAACTGGGCAGAAGAATACTTCAGCAGTACTGCAGGAGTAGGACTGGTTGCTCAACAATCTTCAATAGATCCTGCAAAGAGAAACACAACAATACAGCAACAACTAAGATCTCTTTTTGAAAGAGACTGGAATTCTAAGTACTCTGTAAATATGGAAGACCTGCCAGGACAGAAAGACTGTGTTTGGAAAGATGGATTTCAGAGTTCATGAGAACACTGAATTATTGTATGACTGATTATTATTTGTTACTGCTTTTTAAAAACATTAGTACTTATCTGTATAAGCTCTTAATTCATTTTTAAACTTTCTGTGTGTCGAATTCAAGAACGTTGTCATGAACTTGTAAAATGACAAATGCTTTAGCATAAAGTGTGACCATATAAATGCAGGCCACCTTTTCAAATTATTTTTATTGCTTATGTCCAGCATCATTTATTGGGAGAACAGCTACCAAATGTTTTAAAAGAGGACATTAGCTACCATGTTTTGTGAGGGATCCTTGATTTTGGCTGCTGACACTTTGATGATGTGCTGTTTTGCCAGGACCAAACTTGCATTACACCAAGTAAAGTGTGCCCCAATGGCTGGGTACAGCCTTTCAGGCCATGTGAGCCTCCCTCCAACCTCTTTGCTCACCCCCTTTTGCTCCACAAAGAGCAATTGCACCTAGTAGAAGCTGATGGGTTTCTGTTTTATGCCTCAAAATACTGTATTTTTCTATGTATAAAATGAGACTTTTTACTTAAACAATTAGACCAAAAATTGAGGGTCATTATATACACGGCAGGCAGCTGCTTTCCCTGCCTTTTGCAGGGAAAGGCCTTTTGCCACAGAGTAAAGCAGCCTTGACAGCATCTAAAAAAGTAGAGACATCACCTTGCCAACAAAAGTCCGAATAGTCAAAGCTATGGTTTTTCCTGTAGTGATGGGCTTAGGAAGCGGGAAAGACAGCCAGGAAAGGGTGGGAGGTTCAAAGGGGCATGAGCATGCAAATTTTCTAATTTGGGGGTTAGAAAAGGGGGGGGGTCACCTTATACTTTGGGTCGTCTTGTAAACAGAAAAATACGGTACTTAAAAAAAAAGAGGCAAGTGACTAGAAATGACCTGGACCTTTGGCAGTTTCTAGAGACAGACTAAACGACGAAAGCAGCTGTGAAAGGGCAGCATGCTCGCACCCCTTTGATCCTGAAGCAGCCATGAAATGGCGTCAGGATCAAAGTGGCCTGAGTGTGCTGCCCTTTCATGGCTGCATTACCCATTTCCTAAGCTCCGCAGGGCTTAGGAAGCGGGAAAGACAGCCAGGAAAGGGTGGGAGGATCAAAGGGGCATGAGCATGCAAATTTTCTAATTTGGAGGTTAGAAAAGGGGGGGGTCACCTTATACTTTGGGTCGTCTTGTAAACAGAAAAATACGGTACTTAAAAAAAAGAGGCAAGTGACTAGAAATGACCTGGAGCTTTGGCAGTTTCTAGAGACAGGATGTGGTCTCTCAGGTGGATAAGCAAGGGAAAGTAAATTGTAGCTATGTCTCCTGCAGCTGAGAGCCTTGTTGTGGAGGTGGTGGTGGTGGGGAGTCAGTTTGAAGCAGTTTGCTCAGTTCCCTAGGTAGGATATCAACATGCTCTGGAGGGAAATAGCTTTTGTGCTGCTCTCTAGACTCTAAGCTCCAAATGTCTTGCTCCGAGTGGTGCTTTTAGTCTGTGTGATTGCACCGGCAATCTCCAAGGGCATCCTGGCATACACTCCTCAAGAAATGAACCCTAAGAGCAGCAATGGTAGATTCTTCCTTCAGTTCCTCTACACTGGACTTGCGTAAACACACCCAGTGGGTAGAAAGAGTTAGGCAACAATGGTTGCATTTGCAAAATGCCACAAGATGGCGATGTTTAGGGGGAAAAATATAAGCTTCTCTTGGCTAAATTGAAAGGCTGTGCTTCCTCTGACCAAATTGACTCTAGAAGCATTGCTATAGAAACGACTGAACACTTTTGTTTTTAAAGGGTTGCTTGTAAAATTCAGGTGGCTGTAAAAGGTGCCAGCAGGAGATATTGGTTTAATTAAATTTGTACAGCCTTCTGTAACTAGCAACACTAATTATCGTACCAGCCTTGTACGGAGGCATAAAAATGTGGCCTTTCAGACCCTTATCTCTGACTAATTTGGTTTTGATCGTCTAAATTCTGTGAATCTTGGAATAATTATCTGTTTTACCACCATCTACTATACCTTTATACTGATTTTAAAATATATATACTGTATATACTTTTCTTGTTTAGCATTTGTCATTTTATTCTTAGAGATTTGATTTTGTGTAAGGTTTTATTAATTTACTACTTTATTTTTTTAAAAATGTCTTTACATTTTGCTATTGTAAACTGCTCAGGGTAGTGGCCTAGCCACTAGATGGGTGGGACAGATGGATAAATGAAGAAATGAATGAATAAATAAATAAATAAAATGATTGTTACTTCTCTTTGAAAAAATGGAACTGATGTATATTGACCAAGGCCTAAAGTGAGTTTGGTGTGGCTATTTGTGCATTGGTGAAAACTAAGGAATGCAGGGATGCATCACTGAGAAAGATATAAACAAAGATACAGTTCAGCATTTACAGATGTAAATGTAGAAGCAATTATTATAATTGAAATAGAGACATAATCCAGTTCAACACTGTGGAGGAGAGTGTGACCAGATAGCTTGTAGGTCTTTTTAGTCTGCTGTCCATAGTGTAATGTCTCTGAACATAGTTTTGCCTTCAAATTAATCTGAACTGGAAATCTCTTTTAAAAAGAGAGTTAGTTTTTGATACAAGGGCGTCCTAAATGAGGCTGCAGTAACACTGGCGATAAGAAGTACATGTAAGCATCATTTAAATTGATTTAGATTTTATAATTCATACAACACAAGGATAAAATCCATGTATATGGGCTGCAAAGCAAGTTTGACAGGGGCTTTTAAAAATACTTTGCTTCTAAAATCAATTCAATTTAATGCTATTTTGTGGAAACAAGTTGACTTCAGCAATGTAGATTCGAAAACTGATTTAAATCACCAGAAATAAATCAATTTCCACTTAGTAGGTGTGAACGCGGCCAGCGGTTTAAATACCATGCAACCTGAGCCTGGTTTTTAACAAGTTTGAACAGAAAACAGTTCAAATTGCCTGAGTCTGGGTCCAAACTATCTATTAGCCGAAGTATATACTTCAAGTCCTGATTGTGGAGGACTAATTTTGAATTAAATTGGAAATGGCAGCTATTGCAGGAGCCATTCTCTCCGTGTTTGCTGGGATGAGGTGGCCAGAACATGTTACAAGGCATGTAAAAATGGATGATGGTTTCTATTTTTTAGGAAGCAAGAGAGTTGGGTTAGGTGAAGAGAAATTTGTCTTCATGCTTCTGTACCAGTTTCTCTATATTTTCAATGCATTATTATAAGAACCGTGATTGGCTAGTTTAATGCACCCCCACCCCTTCCACTGCAAATTGTGAAGGGAATGTCCAGGGAGTTAAAGCCTGAGGTAAAATTTGAACTAGGCCTTTCCCACCTCAAGGGGTTCATTTTCTGTAGCCAAGATATTATCATGTTCTGTAGCCAAGATATTATCAAAGGTGTGTTT